CACTGTTTCTATTTAAGTCTTTTCTATATATCACAGAGTGTCTTAAAATGAAGAGTCGTCATTTTAACAATCAAACACGGATAATTCTGGAAACACTTGTATTTGAAGGCTAAAATTTATGTGAACACTATCTAAAAAAAATTTTCTTTCTGTGACTAAGGAACGATTGGTCCAAAAAATGGCGCATATGTCTCTTTAAATATTTGTATACAGTGCATTTGCATACAGCACGTATAATATGTGCTATCGGATATCGAATAGGTCATTAAAACAGAGCATGTAATAGGTCAGCCTGACAACTCTGGCCTACCATATTCTTCAGACGTGATACACGGATGTGATATCGTCAATGGAACATATAATAAGAGCACGATACAATCGACATATTCTGGATAATATATTTAGGCCTATATCTACTCGAGACTCAGACTTTATTCAGTATAAATTATAACATTATATCAAAGTTATATAAACGTTATATTATAAATTAAATACCGAGTATAATATATGACTTCTCTCAGCCCGTGACATAAATGATATAGACTTTAATTCAGGACAAAAAATAAATAAATTATGGTCTGAAAGTAGAAAATCGTTAAAATATCAAGAATGTTTTAACACAAACTGACGTATATTATGTTCAGCCAAGCATTCAATCTATACGAGCTGGCAATAGGTCTACTGGCACAGATGCGACCATTCATTATCCAAACCCTTGAATACAAAAGACTCGAGTAGGGTTTGAATGGGATAACAGGTAGTTTAAAAACGAAGGTAATATATCTTTAATATGCTGTAATTTTATCCTTTTTGTATGTGCTTTATTCGTTATTTTTTTAATTTTTTAAATAAAATTTTGAATGTAGAAAAAGAAATGTAGATCATTTTAGTTTAAAGGTAACATACGGTGGCGCGAAAAGGTAAAACATGGCTTTGTTTACTATAGCAAACAAAGGGACTTGACAATTTTGACCTTATAGTAGCAGTTGGTTAAAATGTGACATGTTTCGTTTCCATCTGTGTTAGTGTGATGGTGTTTTTATTTTTATAGCTGTCGTGTCTAATTACATTAGTAACTTGAAGGTGACATACTAGTAGGGACACTATTCAGACTTCAAAGTAGGACTAGTAGTACAGGCTGTAAGCTATCATAGATAGTTTAGTGAAATTTAACTTTTATCAACAATAATTCAAACTATAGTATTGGATCAAGCATTGGTGTCATTGACAACGTTTGACTCTCGCTAAAGGATTTTTTACTAATAAAAGTTAGAAGCTCTTAGGTTGACAAAGTTTCAAAAGGACTCAAGGCTGGAAAAGTTGCATGCATGCCATTTATTTTTAAACTTCTTGTGTTTATCATTCCAGTTTCGATGACGATGACGGTTCCACACCAGTCGATAGACTAGATGAATTTGGAAGATTTGTGCCATGTGAATACAGTGTTGAAGAATTACGATCCCTGAAACGACGTCACATTGGTCAACTAAAGAATGGAAGCATCCCTGGGGCTGTTGTGAGTGACGTAACAAGTGTCAAAGTTCAAGGACTACAAGCCACAAAATTTTCAAGACGACCCTTGGTCTTAACTCAACAAAACTCAGTCGATTCAACTTGGAGCAAATCGGAGAAATATCTCAATTACGCTAAACAACACAATCTGCAGACTTCAAATAGTCATTACTTCAATTCAAGCAGACATTTAGAGAACCAAAGTAATGTCAGGAACCCAGGAATCGATTGTCAGGAATCAGAATCAAGGAATCCTCACGTTGACGATAGTGCTCGAATAAAACTATTTAAAGATAGTCATATTGATTCGTTTAAAAACAGTAATTATCAAAAGTGTAATAATAAAAACGGAATAAGACCGAATTTTTGTTCCAAACTCTCGACTTCGACTTCCAGGAACTCTAGAAAAGGGTGTTCACATAAATATCCGCCAAAGAAACATTCTTTAGATAACGGATTTGGATTTTTAACGCCTGAAACTAAAGCTCGACTCGGTGGAATCCGGAAAGACTGGCAATCAAATTCTGATTTGTTCAATTCTTTATCATTGGATATTAATGACAATATAAGTTTATTGGACACCGACATAAACTCGTTGAATCTTCAAAGTTTTGAATCAGGATATTCGTCGTTGGCGTTGGTGCCAAAACCAGGTGTGTTTTCTGATTCCCTATCTGATTTAATTGGCAAGTTTGAAAATACTGAGCAACTCTTATCACCCCAGCCATCAGACAAAATAGAAGATTCCAAAGACACTGCAATGGAAGTTCCAGAAGAATTAAAGAAATTTAGTCATAAGTACCAATTTCATGATGAGACTCTGTCCTATCTTAAGATCCTGTCTGAAGATCCAATGCCTGATCATATCAAAGTACCAGTACACGAGGGTAGAGATTGGTCTAATAGGTTATTGAAGAAGTTTGGGCAGGCTCCAGAAGAATTTGATGGGTCTGTTCGGCAGTTCATCGTTCCCAGTATTAAATGTAAAGGTATGTGTATTAATTATAAAATTTTGAAAATGCATAGTGACTTATTAGATGAAATGAAGTCCTTGTGTTTTACGACTAATGAAGACGTACAACGCAATGCAGTGTGGAGTGAGGGAAACGTTGCCAGAAAAGCGGCGCTAGCCTACTCATTTGCGATTCCTAAAATTCCTCATGACCTAGAACATGTGTTGCATAGCGATATCGTCAGATCACGGGGTGGTGAGTAGTAACCCACTGAAAAACACACGCCACAAGCATGGTTATTTTCTTATTGTCGCATGAGTGCGTTTAAATAGGAAAGTATTATTTAAAAAATGAAAAAGTGAAAATGAATTATATAAATAATAGTTATCAATATATGACAATTTTTGGGCGTCAGTAATTCTGAGCTTTTCCCAGTCTTAGGTATTTTATCAATCACTAGAACGGGATCAGATAAAATACGTTTATTTGCTTGGTTAACGTAGTGATTACACGTAATAATTTGAAACTAAAATATATTTGACTTTTTGGTCTAGTTGCACATACAAGGTTGAAAAGGACCGGTTTCACAAGTATATTTACTTACATCCGCATTAACAGTCACCTGAAAATTAACTGTCAAATTTTTCTTAATTTAAAGAGATTCATTCGTCTACAAGTAGGCATATTATCCAACATTATGAATCCCGATTGACAAATACTATACTAATGTTTGACTACTCCAGTTCGGATGGGACAATAAACCGAGGCTCCGTGTGCTACAGGCTGTGCACTTCAAAAGATTCATCGACAGTTGGAAATCGAAAAAGACCAGGTTAATGCAACTGTCCTGGCAAAATTTTCCTCATTGCACTCTGCATGGCATTGCATGTTTTCATTAGCCCACATGGTGCAGAAAAGTAGGAGGTAAAACTCCATTCATTTCATTTCAACTTAAAAGCCTGAATATTTTGAAGCACTCTGTAATTGCTATGATTATAAATTCAAGGATCGAATACCTTGAAGTAAAATATAACCTTTACCTGTACTATGTAATATGTAATAGCGAGTTTTCACAGCTTGAATTACCACCTAAACTAGTGATTATTATAGGCAAAAAATGTTGAAGTTAACGTAGCGTGGAGGTTTTCGCTTGGTTGCATTATTCAATTTATGTTGTAACAGTATCATTGGCTATAGTATCTTTTATTACAGTATAATATTACATTCCTTATTTTACCTCTCTTTTATATTCTTTTAAGCTTCTTTATTCTCTTTTTTAATGAACCGACACAAATGACCTTTGACATACCTTTTTGGTGATATTTTTGTAGGCCTAAATAACATCATATTACTGCTTTATTACTTTTTCTTCCTGAGTCGACATATTGAAATTGTTATTTTTTTGTCACTAACCTCCCAAATTCCCATGTGAATGCTCTTATTTCAGTCAGGACAGAAAATTTGGGCGAAAAACTCATTTTCATTTCATTTCATTTACCATTGTGTTATTGCGTCCTAGTCCTAATACTTTGCTTAAATACCATTCTAATATAATGAAATTTGTATTCATCTTATGAAGAGAGATAACGTTATGCAGTGTGCAATGGGGGTCTCATTTCATTTCCCATTGTTATATTGAGCCCAAATACTTTATTCAGTGGTCTGATATATTCAGAAATGTAGGCCTTATGTTCATTCCTTGGTCTTATAAATAATGGCAATGTTATGTCGTGTGCAATGTGGGAAATTTGAAATTGCACGCAATATGTCGAACTCCAAATCGTTTCATTTCTTCATTGTAGTAAATTATGAATGAAGAGATAGATTTTCATATATCTTGTTCTTTTTTTGCAGCAGGCATTCCAGTTGATATAATCCGACCTAAAACATTACCACAAGTTCCTTCAATTGTAATATATTTCCATGGTGGAGGAATGGTCTTTGGTTCCAGAAAAACAACAGATTCCTTTTGTAAAATATTGAGCAGGTATTAATAAACCCTTCATTTTAGGTGGGCCGGTAGGCTAAAATGACACGCTCCTGTGCATCATTCAAACGCATGGGATGTATGCCAACCATAGAGTTATATATAACTCCATGATGCCAACATAATATATTTAAATCGGTTGTCATTTGAACAGCTAAAGATTCACATTTCATTCACAAGGCACGTGTCAAGGTGACATTAGTTTCTGATTGGTTAGTTTGTCATTACGTCATGTTACGTGAAATTGACCCATATTTTTCATTGGTCAAAATACGGGACAGAGCTTAAACAAATCTAGGCGTGGATTTTATTCATGCTAATTCTAAAATTCGTTTTAATGAACACAGGCGTCGCGAGCCTACACTAATGATCATTAAGGAGTCATTTTATGCTGACCTAGTTTTGAAGTCTATGACGTCATATCAACGTGAAACTGGCCTAATTTCTGATTAGTTAATTGTTTCACGTTCCACTATGTAAACAAAACGTAAGTTTGTACAAAAAAACAACTCTTGTCTTAAAAAAATGTGCGTATATAAACTCATGGCGGTGTCCGCCGTTTGGTGCCGCGATCGATGCGGATATTTTCATCTTAAGAGAGGAAGTTCCAATGAGAAGTCAAGTTTTATGAAGTCAGTTCGATCGTGGTCTTGTCTTGACTTAGAAAACAGTATAATTGACGTAAAAAATTACTTATCACGTCACGTTAAGCATACAAACATTGAAAGACCATCATTAAATCTTAGTACACGGTCAGTGTCAATATCGCTACTGATTAATTTCTTTAATAGATCATGTTAAAGCCACAAAATCAAAGAGAGATTTGTGTGAAATGTATTAAAAGGGATAAGAGATATTCCTTGCAAAATGTTGGGTACAATTTGCAAATGTTTTAAGAGTCTGAATATTTACGTCATCGACCGAAAGAGCCTTCGCCATCTGTATCATTTTTCAGAAGTTCTCTTGCAATAAATGATAATAGGCTAATGTTATCAACAGAATAGCCTATGACATTGCAATTTTTTACCTTTTCAATTCAATCATTAGGAAGATTTTTAGGAACTCGTAATTTCTTTGTTGCCGACAATTTTGAGTGACAACGAATGCGAAACATATATTTAGATTTAGGTAACTGAGGGTTTCTGTTTTTCTTTGAAACGATATGGAATCAAACATTTCTCTACACGACAAGCTTTATGCTTTATTATTATAATACATTAAAGGGACAGATGCGCAATTTTGGGGGGTTAATTTTAGTCTTGAATATATTAATAGTCTCCAGAAGTACTAGAAATGTTAGAAAATCGGATAACTCTTTCAAAAATATCTCAAACTAGGAATTTTACCGGTACTCACTATTTCTATATATGTCTTTTCTATATATCAGAGTATCTTAATATGACGAGTCGTCATTTTAACTTTCAAACGCGGATAATTCAAATAATGATAACGCAAATGGATTGGAAGACTCAAATTTTGACGGTGAGCTGTGAACACTATTACTGATTGACTTAAATTCCCGTTTTTAAGACTGACGTATGAAAACGGTGCATCTGCTCCTTTAAAGCAAATCATTAATACTCGTAATATGCAAATTTAAATGTAACAGCGGGTAGAATAAAGTACACATGGAATGTCTCCACCTGACTGCCTTGATATGCTGGTGAATTGAAACGCCAAGTACAAGGTGAAGTGACATGACAATTGATTGGCCAGAGGCAAATTTTCGTGAATATTGCGTCGAATTTTACATCAAATAATCCATGTTTGCAATTCAATTGTGCAAGTAAAAAAATGCAAAAATTTCTTATTGAATATGAAATTTTATTTAGCGAATAATAATCCTGGTACGATACACAAAGGAGGTTATGGCTATTGTACTTTAGGGTTACGAATTTGAGATCCAAGATGGCTGTTTTAATCTTGACTAACGTTCCTTTAAAGTCAACGCGACAGAAGGAAATTTGAGGCTGTGAATATTTTTAGAAATTAATTAGATAAAAGCCTGTAGGTAGAGTAGCCTGTAGGCTGGTCAGTATGATATATTATAATAGTCTTAAATAAGATCCTGTGACACATATTAATTTCATCTAGGATTGACCTGATTAACTCCTTTAGTCCACCGGATACCTTTAAAATCTCCCATATAGGTTGAGATAATATCTTCGGAATTTTCAACCTAGTTTCCCCTTGTCAGTGAAACAGTGATATAGATCGGGGGGACTGACATGGAAAATGCGTCTAGTCGTTCGGGTGCGTCACTTCATAGCGTTGGTCCGCCCTTAGCCCAAACAGAAAAGAAGGACGTTCCCATTTCATATCATTTGAAATGATTTAATTGACTATAGCTTATCTCTCACGTGTTTCGAATACACAATCCTCATCAGGACAGCTGGTGGTGTGCTTAATTCACCTTTTTGTATTTCAGAGAAGCTAATTGTGTAGTTGTTAATGTAGAATATCGTCTAGCACCAGAAAATAAATTCCCTGCACCGTTTGATGATGCTAAATGTGTTGTAAGATGGGTGAAAATGAATCTAGGATTACTAGGTATGTAAAATGTTTGGCAAAGTCGGTTAGCATTCATTGGAAGCTTACTTGCGTCGAACAAATGGTAGTCGTGAGTCCTGATCTTGGTCGGCGTGTGAAAGTCTGTTGACCTTGAACAAGTCATCTTTCCTCATTATTCCAGTTAACCCGGCTGAAAATTTGTAGCAATAATCCGGAAAGGTTCAGTGCCAAGAGGTTTAGCCAAGGATCAACTGGTAGAAAGGGTCCTCTTGAACTTAAGTTGTTTAGCCATGAACCATCTGGTAGAAAGGATCCTAAGTTGTTATCCTTGTAAAATGGCTGTTTAAACTAAGTTTTACACATTTGGACCCTGATATAACTATAGTTTCAGTGAAATATTATTGAATTCCAGGTGCTGTGTTAGAAAGTAAAATAGGTGTAGCAGGAGATAGTGCTGGTGGTCAAATAGCAGCTAGTGTTTCTCATCTTATGTCTGGATTAGATTTTCAGGTAATGCTTCGTTAGCTTTCCAACCGGAGCACTTGATAAAAACTTTAGAAATAGAACTCAATAATAACTATTTGCAAACATAACATTAAACTGGAATCTTAAAGCTTTAAAGGGACAGACGCGCCATTCTTTTGACCAATCATAGTTTAGTCCCATAGTATGAGCTATTTTTGAAGGAATAATGCGATTTTCGTACATTTCTAGTACTTCTGAAGACTATTTATATATTTTCAACCCCCCAAAATGGCGCATTTGTCCCTTTACTCTCTTCAGGCCAGGCCCATATACTTGATTGGATTTGATGTTCTCTACAATTGCTAACGAGAAAGGACATGCTCACATTTCTGAACAAGAAATTCCACTCTGTAACTTCGCATATCTTATATAAATGGTTTATTGTAGAGTAGAGGCTAAAAGATCGAGATCATAAGTGCCACAATCCATGACTTCAAAGAGGCATCTTGTGCATCCTTACTTGCGCTTTAGCAAAATGTGAAACGCACGCTTCATCTATATGAATAATTAATTATTATCATGTACTTCTATTTCAGGTACTAATATATCCAGTGCTAGATTTAAACTTTAATCAGCCATCGATGACAGAATTTGAAAATGGACCAGGATTAACGAAACACCAGTTGGAATGGTAAGTTCTGTGTGGAGATGGTCTTACTTCGTCCTGAGAGAGTACAGATCCAATAATCAATTGGTAAATGAGATCCGTGAATAAAATATGCATATCGCTATTTTTAGTAAATGTTTGCGTTTTTAACAAATGAAAGCAAAACGGCTGCAAGGGGAATTCGGCAGACAGGATGACCAAGCTTTGCCTCCACTCTAATCTCAAATTTGTTACCATCTTAAGCGGGGAGAGAGTGCCTGTGAGCCCTTTGACAATTTTGTGGCTACTACTCAAGCAACAACCCCTCCCCTACACCCGCTTAATGATTCATAAAAACGCCAGTGCCATTACAATCGTTACAACCAACGCAGTATTCACGTGTTCTCAAATCAGCCATTTTGTTTCAGGAGTTATAAACAGTTTTTAAATAAAGATGAAGAGAGAAATGACCCGATAGCTTCACCATTATTACGATCTGATTTTACAAAACAACCTAAGACATTTCTTCTTATAGCACAGATAGATCCTCTTAGAGATGCTATATATGGTATGTAAGCTTAGACAATTAAGAATATCATTATGCCTGTTTTTCTTGCTCTAAAATAAATAAAAAGCAGTTTCCATATTGGCAGGTAAACGTTGTTTGCAAATTTACAAGTAAATTTTACCCTCTTCCCTGCATCTTCTTGGCCCTTTTATTATTAATCATAATTACTACAGTTCAATACGTCTACTCCATCCGTCTTTTCGAAGGTGTCAGGAATTTTAAGGTACACGGAACTTGGGTTCCCATATGAAAGACTATAATATAATCTTTTCCATCAAAGTACCTTCAACTTGCATCACTGACAAGGTGGACAAGACTAACAGAGGCGGAATTATCAAGTCGTTATTAAATCCCACTATTTTGTGTTCTATTTAGATTATAAACAGAAATTGAAAGAATGTGATGTACCTGTAACAAGTTATTTAGTGAGGGGAGCTGTCCATGGTTTCTTTAAATATCAAGGTAAATTTCCATTTATTTTTTGACAGAAGGTTTAATAGCATTTGAAAGGCATAGACCTAAAAATGAGTTCATAGGATAAAGTAATTCTATGCAAGAAAGTCGTGATTATGATGTGCAAGTTAAAAGACATGACAGTTAAGTGCAGGGATACGGACCAATAATGTAGGAATGAAGTCATGAATGTTAAGTAATATTAATTGAAAGGCCAAAGAAATGGCTGTGAGGATAAAGAAATGACCAGGGCAATGATTATGGCTGTTTAGTGTATTCTTTAGACATCACTGTTAAAGGTTCAATTCATGACGATCAAGAGAAAGTTCAAAGTCGTGATCATTTGTGAAAGGATACGTCATGACCTCTAAGTACAAGACTAAATACATGACTGTTAAGTAACGGTTACGGTCATGTTAAAATCCAGGATAAAAGAATGCCTGTTAAGTGCAAGGATAACGAAATGGCTGTTAAGTACAGGTTAATGTCATTAATGGATAAAGACAAAACTGTAAAGTACAAGGATAAAGTGCAGGGATAAAGACTTAACTGTTGGTTGCAGGGATAAAGAGTTGTCCGGCACCCGGATCAAGTCATGAAAGGATTGTCATGATAATGCAAGCATGAAATTATAACCAAGTGTAATGAAGGATTGGTCAGTAATACAAGGATGAAATTAAGATTGTTAAGTGCATGGATGTAGTCATGACAGTAAAGTTAATGTATTGATAAAACTCGTGACCAGACTGCAAGGACGAAATCATGACCAATAATGATATCTAAAGATTAATGATTTTTACCGGTTTTTTTTTCAGGTCATTATAAGAGTTTATGTGATGAATCATATCAGCAAGTGATAGAATTTGTCAAATCAATAGCTTATTGGGATGAAATAACATTAGGTGGACAGAAGAATGTGGTATTTTAAACTCGACATATCCAGTAACATTGGTGATGGAAAATTAACTCAACTACTAATGGCTACACTACAATAATGCAATAACATTCTAAGTGTATTAATAATGTGTTCATATTTCAAAGAAAACTTTCTTATTGTATTGTCATAATATATTTTTGTTTATATTTTTAAATAAATTGTTGATTTTGTATTAATTTGTTGTTTTCTTATTTTTCCTTTGACCATATTTTATCAATGCAAAATCTTTTCAAGACTATCTCACTTTCTTGATTATAATTATCAGTAATATTGGATTTATCAAGAAGTGTTAGGATAGAAATATGATATATGGGGATCTATGAATCTGTTGTACTAATTCTGAAAAACAGCAACCGACTTACATTCCTTACTTCATACAACATAATTGTCATATGTACATAGGCACTGCTTTATAGAACAACAATCACGTCGAAACGTTGCATAAAACTTCCAACCTGTGATCGTTGTTCCATAAAGCTGTGTTTACAATTGCTAAATGCCATTAAAAGACATAATTGTCATCAATTGCCAACAGCGACCTAGAAGTCTCCATCTTGTGCCAGACAGATGCAATATTTTGAGAATTTTCTTCTTCAAAACAAGGTCGACAAAGACAGGACGAACATCCAAATTCCATTTCAAATAATAATTAAAAAAAAACATAACTTCCATTCAATACTGTTTAATTGTAATAATTAAAGAGTGAAGCATACAAAAATATTTGACTAAATTTGTCTTTAACAAAGGTACAGACTGGAAACATACAATAGTATATATACATCATTGGTAGGAATATAGCAATTTGAATATTTACTACAACATAGAGCTCTGTCAACCAGAGGTCCTGAAAAGTAAATATTCAAACTGCTATATACCCTTCACAATCAGAAATTTAGAGGAAAGTTCAAATGAAATACACCAGAACACCAGAATAACCATCAAAATGACACCAGCTTGAAAGATCTGAGAATCCCTTAACATTGGATTATCCCAAACTGTCAATGTTCATTCTAGGTGAACAGGTCATAGATTTTAGATTGGACAAAGACAAGATAGAAGAAGAAAGATAAGAAGTAGGAACTGAGAACACCACTTCAATGGTTGTCTAACTATCCTAAATCTGGGCCAATTTAATATATTTTGTTCTCTATTTAGACTAGGTTCAAATATATAAACACAGCTTTATGGAACAACAATCACTGGTTAAAATTTTATGCAACGTTTAGACGTGTTTCCCCCCGTCAACCTCAAGCACATAGTGATAAGAAGTAATGGGCAAACTATATTGATAAGTAATGGGCAAACTATATATCACTATGTGCCTGAGAACGACGGGGAAAACACGTTGAAACGTTGCATAAAACATTAACCAGTGATTGTTGTTCCATAAAGCTGTGCCTATGTATCGTACTCACAATTGCTAAATGCCATTCAAAGACTGTAGAATCAAATAGTTCAATTATATTAGACACATGTAGGTAGAAAATCATATTTAGAATATTGGGCAGTTGGTTTAAAGACTGGCTGCTGATAGTTCACATACATTTTCATATATACATTTTCATCAGGTCCTATCAAATGAATTCATTTTGCAACAGATAATCATATACTTCACTGATAAATTCACCAAATGCTAAAATAGTGTTATATTGATGTTCCTCAAGATTTTAAAATTGAAGAGAGGTTATGGAAGTTACCTTCACTTTAGTTACAGAAGAAATAATTTTTCAATCAAATCCTATATTTAGTATGCCTTTAAATCAACTTTGGTATATTCTCGTTTACATATATTTTACAATGATCTATCAAAAAAATCTAAAATTTTAAATCAGAAAAGATTTGGAATGTCCATTTCTTCACCACTGAAAAATCAAATTCAGTGAAACTTTCAAATACAGCACTACACAAATAATAAATTTGACCCAAAAAAATTAACCTTAGATTAGAAAAAAACAAAATTAGACTAGAATTAAAAGTCTAGAGTAATTTCTTTCACAAAATAATCACAGATATTAACAAACAAATCATTTAATTTAAATATAACTTAAAAACCAAACCACAAATCCCCAATATAGGTTCTAGACATAAAGCAAAAGAAGCAGAAGGCTAAAATGTTAAATATAGATTCAGAGTTATCTTTCCTTAGATAAGCTTCCACAACCAACAAAGATGAGGCTAGGCTGGCATTCAATTGGTGTTCTGAACATCTGTTCCATTTTTGGAAAATTACCCTTATATCCCTTCGTCCACCATTTCATATTCTGTCTATATCTCAATTTTGGGCACACATGGAACCCATTCTAAACCCTGTTTAACGTTTTTTACTTCCAGTTTATAACACGAATTTAAAACGTGAAAAACTAACCAATCGAGTGCCCCTTATTCATCTGATTGTGTCCAGTGCTACTGACTAAGGAAAGATAACTATAAAACAAGAGTAAAGAAAGGCTATAATATTGATATAATAATTTAAATAGCATCAATATCTATATCATCATCACCACCACTAGTATCTTTATTATTGGTAGTAGTTGTAGGTTTAGCTGTCGGTGTTTTCTGTTCACCAACTTTCTCTGTTGTAGAGTACACAACCTGAAGGAAAGGTTAAATAATATATCTCATTTTCGACAGATTTGACCTCAAAACTTGTGCAATTGGGAAGACAATTGTACTATGAATATCTCAATACTGATATTACATTACAACATCCATCGACAGTAAGATATCAAAACAGTAGGCTAATGCCATGTCCTGACAAAAATTGCCTCATTGCAAACTGCATGGCATTGTCTGTCTTCATTAATTAAGTGTATAAGATTAAGACGGAAAACTCCATTCATTTTATTTCTTTTTCAGAACAAAAGATGTACAACAATTCTGTCAGATCATGGATGACAAGTGGAGTCACCTACAGTAAAAATATGAAAAGAACAATCCAGATTTTTTCAAATCATATCATTAAGTCAGAATCTCACCTCAATATTTTCATCTTCACTTTCATCTTCACTTTCTTCTTCAGCTTCCCTCAACCACTTGATAAACGGTTCAGCTTTATCATGTATCTCTTGAGCTACAGGTTTAGACACATACTTCTTAGATACCTTCTCACCCCACTCTAGCATGACCTTCTCTTCCACAATATCAGTGTCATACAGTAACTTGAGTATATGGGGTACTTTAGGTAACAAGATGTCTTTATGTACCTCTCCTACCAACTGTTCAATACCACCCAAGAGATATTTCTGAGCTTTAGGATTTTCATAGCAAAACTGAAATAAATTTAATTCACATAAATCAGCATACAGATGAAGATCAATATTTAAAAGTCATTGATTTCTCCTCAGTAATCAGAATGGGAATCCTCAGCTTTTTCTGAGCTGTAGTAAAATAAATTCAATTAAGTAATTCTTAAATATTTAGAATGTGAAACAATCAGTTGTTGATTTCTCCTCAGTAATCAGAAGGGGAATCCTCAACATTACTCATCATATTGTTAATTTAGTTTGGAATAAATTCTCAGACTATTCCTGATTATTGGAACCAATCAAGACAATTGCATATCAGTAGATATTTTTCCAAAACGTACTGTTTGCGAATGCCTATATTTTGAAACAATCTGAGCTTTAGTAAAATAAATTCAATTAAGTAATTCTTAAATATTTAGAATGTGAAACAATCAGTTGTTGATTTCTCCTCAGTAATCAGAAGGGGAATCCTCAACATTACTCATCATATTGTTAACTAAAGATGGCTTCCAAATGGAATTGTGTACAAGTCTACTTACACTAAGCAGAAGTTTTCTGTGGTTTTTAATCTGTTGTAAAATATTAGTATCAAATAGTAATTCTACTAATACTAAGGTAGCTTTATCTTTAACTTCCAGTCTTTCAGCTTCAGCCGTAATTTCTTGTACTTGATTAACTTTCTTATCATCTCGCTTCAACTGAAATTGACAATCATAGTTCAAATAAAAAAATTGTATGAGTGGATCTCATCTCCAAAAAATCTTAAAACTGTTGAGAAATATAATAACAAATAATAAGAATATGAAACATTCAGTTGTTGATTTCTCCTCAGTAATCAGAAGGGGAATCCTCAACATTACTCATCATTTTGTTCATAACAAAATAATCCATTCTAATTAGTACAGACATTAGTTTCAAGTATGATTTGTGGATAATTACCTGAAGGAACTTGTAGAAAATATCTATTCTTTCTTCAGGTGTTTTCTCTAAATCATCAGTTAAAGCCAAGCCTTTAGCAGCATCAGTTAATTCTTCCATTCTCTGTTTAATAGCTTCTTCAGTAATATCTTCACCCCAATCACCATCATCATCTTCCTCTTGAAACTGTAACACAGATGATTTATGTCAATAAGATATGCCAGGTTCATATTAGCTTGGAGTACTTCTCTTGTGTACAGCTATGTTCCTAAAGAGTGATCATGTCACAGCACTTATCACAGTGGTGCTTGAAATCAAAGACTTTCAATAATTTATCTGTATGAACCTGGGTCTGGTAAATTGTCATAAAAACTAAAAAACTGGAAGCAAATGGGTCACTTTTCCATAAATGTCACCATACTATGTGTATTGAAGGTTTAGAACTTTAATAACTAAGGAATTTTCAAAATCTTGATAACTGAGAAAGACTAAAGGGACAATCAGAAGTGGTGTTCTCATCTAGATTCAGATTAGGGGGACCCACTGAATTCTCATCACCTTGTCCACAAAATCCATTTTGTTATTGTTAAGTATCTAATGGAAACAAACGGATTACTTTACCATGAATATGTGACCTTACTATTCAAGGTTTATACATAAAACAACTGAGGTTTTCAAAATCTTGATAACTGAGAAAGGATAAGGGACAATCAGAAGTGGTGTTCTCATCTAGATTCAGATTAGGGGGACCCACTGAATTCTCATCACCTTGTCCAATTTGTTTCAATTGATGGCCAATTTATACCATACCTCTGGTGGAGCATCTATAACCCCTCCTGAAGCTCTCTGAGCAGCCATTTGTTGTTGAGCATTAGCCTCAGGACTAGCTCTATCATCATCTTTATCACCCTTCTTTTTACCACCCTTTTTAGTTTGCTTTTTAGGGGTTGTGGTTGACTCAACCTTAAATAACAAAATTAAATACCGGTACAATCAAATGAAACATCTTGAAAACTTTTTTTTTTTATATTGTATCAGTTGTTGATATCTATTTTAAGCTATGAATGCAAGCTCATATCTAACAATCAGTTGTTGATTTCTCCTCAGTAATCAGAAGGGGAATCCTCAACATCACTCATCATATTGCTAATTTAGTTTGGAATATATTCAAAGAAAAAAATTCCTGATTATTGGAACCGATCAATATGAATTCTGTAGATATTTTTCACAAAGTACCATATGGCCTATTTTGAGCCATCAATGTACGCTCAAATATTTTATAACAATCAGTTGTTGATTTCTCCTCAGTAATCAGAAGGGGAATCCTCAACATTACTCATCATATTGTTCAATAACCGTGGGTACTGAGTTAAACTTGCTCACCTGGTCTGATGGATTCTTCAGAATGAATGTGGTTAATTTATGCCTCATGTCAATTTGACCCGAGTACCCACAAGCTATACAGCGCTGGGAAATAGTCTGTTTCTTGGCCTGAACAGCCTAAAATGAAGAGATATCAAAATCATTAAAATATAGACAGGTATTTTCCATTTTTAAATGCAGGAGGAAATTGTCAACAATGACACAGGTATGCCAAGATTTAAAATATAAAGCAAATGGACTCAAGGATTGTTTGTGAATTTAAATTTGTGACAAATCACTTGGAAAAAGTTACTTACAAGTTTTGTTTCTGGATTGGAACATTCAGGACACAAAACAAATTTTTTGATAAAAACATCTAAAAGATTTTGAAGCTTTTCAGCATCATGAGAGCCATTGACAATATAGCGATCATTCTTTAAATCAAATTGAGTTTGTGCACCAAGCTCACAGCCAAAAAACTTGCAAGGATCTGAAAATAGAATATAATTTATGGTAAATGCAAAATGACTCGTCATATCTAAGCTTCCTTTTAATTAAGACAACATTTTTTCAAATGTAAAAAATATAAAGGGTATGCCTACAATAAAATTTGGAATAGACTACATTATGTCTTGATATTAACCAGTCTCAATCAAATCTATACATAAGAAATTACAAATGAAACTTACAAGTAGCTGGCCTGGAAAGAGCTTTGGCCACATCAACCATGTTCACAATAACAGTCTTAATGCCATTTCCTTTTCCCTCCACCTGTAAAACAATTTGAAAGTAATAAAACTATTGGGATAAGTTTATTGCAGCAATACCTAAGCAATTGCAAAAAGGTCTCTATGATAAAATTCAACAAGTTCAGAATAAGATTACCTGATAGTTAGCTACTGGATAACAGATTATCAATACATAAATACCAAGTGAATTTACAACCATTCAGTATCATATAGTTCTCTGTTTATTGTATGTGAACATACATTATACTCTTAACAGAGTCAATGAATTAAATATTTACAAACATACTAACCTTGGCTAAGAGTTTCGGCATTTTATAGCGATAGAAGGGGTCGATGTTGCTCCTATCAACATTGTAAGACATGTTGATTTTTTATGAAAAGACGAAGGTTTTCTTTTTCTATGTATACTACTAGAGGTTTGATTTCGATGACTTTCTAACTTTAGGAAATTCATAAACCTTTCTGGGGGAAGCGTACCGCCCCAATTAAATACCGTTGGTTGTATGGTTGCAATTGTTGCTCCTCGCCAAGACGGCCCTGAAATGTTTAAGGAATAAAATTAGAATGTAATAAAATAACTAGCATCAATATATCTGTATCATCAAATTTGATAATAAATAAAAAAGGTTTAAGTAAGTATGACCATAAAACCATTCACCTTCACTCACTATCTATTTTGGTAACATATTGCTAGTGGTCACTGACAAGTCATATGTGTAATATGTAACACCTGCCTCATAAAACAATATTCTTGAAAACATATCACAATGTCCACACACCTAAATTTTATCTATCACTGATGATCAATTAATCAACACTCACTAATGAGTTAAAATCTGAAGAGGTAATTAACTTCCTAATCTGGATTAGTAGATTAAATCTGTTAAATCACTTTCACAAGATGAAAGTTGACTTCAAAAAGCTGTCTGCGCATTTCCCAAAGACCGATATCATTAGCCCACGTGCTTCCAGTTGACAAACGTGGCTCAATATGGCGGAAAATTACAGGCATAATATGGCTCAATATTCACGACAAATCTAATCCACATTGAAAGATAACTTACGCCAAATAAAACAATATCGTTTAAATTAATGAAACTCACCGTATCGAATATATAACTTCATAAAAACGTTAAAACGTTTAAAGGTTATTGCTAGACAGTGGGGGTGGCAACCTGCCAATAAAAGCAAACGTTTCTCAATAATATGTGAGCCTTTTACACCAGAATTAAAGGTGGATCAGTTACCAAAACCTGAAAATAAGATAGATTTACATGTTATGAACTCCAATCATTAAAATTTGATATGATATGGCATGATTTATTGCGTAATACTAAGCAAGATTGTTACCTTTTGCCAACCTTGACTTCACAAGTGACAAGCAGATTTCTTCATTCCGTTGCGCGCAGCGACAAGTACCCGGATGATTACGACTTTTGTCCAAGTCTCGCGGAAACTTGCGAGATTATCGCGACATTCCGCCATGATGGATGATGACGAGATGGGTGGAATCTAAAGAATAATTGATCAGATTACAAAATAATCATATCAGATTGTATATCAACAAACTTAGATATTTATGCATATACTGTTGTCTCCAATCAGCTGATAGAAGAAGTCACAGACATTCTGTAAAATAGTTTGTCGCGGTGTTTTCGATCACCTGTCTGTTGTGTTTATATTTTTTGATTGTGATGTGAGTGCCTTTATTTATTGACTTTATACATAGTTCATTCATTCTTTCAATTCATTCAGTAATGTTTGAGGTCCTTGAGATTTAACTTGTGGATGTTAGTCATCAAAATTTTTGCTTTGTCAGCTGATAGATATCTCCACACTTCTGTTGTCTGAAGCATTTATTAATCCTAGCCTAGACATGATGTGTCTGCAATAGAATAAAAATATGTAGCTAAATTAGGAATTTTCTAGACTTTTATGAATATCCTACCATGCAAATATAACTTATGATATGACAGTGTCAGGAGAAATTGTCAGTGAACTAAGACATAACTTCTGTTAGATTACGAAGCCCTGACCCTATCTACAGGAGTACAGACAAGGCCTACTCTCAGACAGAAGACATTGATGGCTAGTTAAGTAGATATATCTTCACAATATCAAGCTATTACAAACTTTGTCTACAACATACATTTTGTAATAGCTTTTCCTTGATGCCTCAAAAAGTGTCAGAGAAGACATCAAGTCCTTATATCTCACACTTTTGCTTTTTGAAAATAGCAAGAAATAAATTCCCACATTATTTTTTTGTGAGAAAAACCCTACAGCTTGAATTATCTCTCTGCCAAATGGTAAAGCAAATTTGATTAATCATTTGAATTGCAATATGGGCAACCGGTACAAAAATTTATGGTCTTCAATTGACGCTGAGGTAATCAAAAAAAAAAAAAATGGAAACACTGCCTTCGCAATTTTATAAGATAAATTACCTGGTAGTTTTCATTTGTTTTCATTTTCCAAAAAATGAGCTGGCGAATTTTAAAGCAAGAGACTTCAAGATGAATTTTTTTTTTTATCTCTGTCCTTGTGTCTGGTTTTGTGGTAAGATATTATAAACCAATAAATTTTTTTTTATTGCCACAGCTGTTATCGAAAGTGTGTGGGATATTGATTTCCAATATTGTTTTCTTTTATCTATATTGGAAATATAAACTTATATTAATCTAGAAGTTTTGTTTTGTAGGTTTTAAGTCTGTAAATGTGAATTAATGTTCAAATGATAATCAGCATTTTATTGTCTTTAAGGGATTGCAAACAGGTTTTTCTAAATTATTTATGTGTATAAGGGACATTGATGGCATCAATTGCACCATGTCAATTTTCATTCTGACATTATAGCGGTTCCTGCAATTCCTCGAAAAACTAAGTGTTTGATGACTTCGCTTATCTTGAAATGTGCTTTTACACATAATACCCTTCTCGATAAGTGACTACATTCAACACTTAGTGTTAGTGGAATGTCAGGAACAGACGTCTGATTAAAAATTGGAATGGTGCAAATAGAAGATATCAGTGTTCCAAAAACCTCTTAAAATCCTTTTAATAATTATCAGAAAAACATCAAAAGGCAACAATTTGACTTATTGACCATACCTTTTGGTGATTGATAGATTTAAAACATTTTTCTGAATATTTATCTTAGTAACAACATATTGCATCTCAGGGATGACATTTTTATAGTGTTTTAGGATTATTTCTAGATTCAGTTTCTATAAAACTGATATAGGCTACTGTACATGCTTTACTAATATGATAAGACTGATTTTTTACCTATCCATTGGATTTTCAGAATAAACTAAGCCCTTGTGTGTGTCCAATTGCAAACTATAGAGCCGTTTTACACGAGGGTAAAAATTCCCGGGTCCACCATGGGTCGGCCCGGGGACAGTTGTTCACACTTTGAAGACTCTGAGAGTCAACACCGAGGCCACACTGTAGTTGCCAACTCCAGTCTTCACTAGGGTTGAACTCCAATTCGACCGGGTTCAGCAGTTTATGCTGACAGGCGGCTACAACCACGTCATTGGTTGCCCAGGCTTCACTGAAATTGCGACCTAGCAGACTGTCTTCGTGTAAACACGAACAGAATTGACCCTAGAGTTTTGAACTACGAAAAGTCAACCTGAGTCAGTAAATCCGCGGGTCCAAGTCAAACTCATGTAAACAGTCTTATGTTAGTCTTTATTTTCCAGGGTGTTATTGATATTCTCCTTTGCAGATATTAGCAATATGATATTTTCATTTGATATTTGGAATGTTTTCAATTCTGCTAAGAATTTGATGGACTGAATATATACTATATTAAGCCGATAAAACATGAATTAAGATGATTTTATCCTTTTTTATTTCAAACTGTACTCTGTGACTAGTAATGCATTTGATAAGAATCAAAATAAGCTGATTGAAAGAAAATGAATTGTTAATCAAATATGACATGCTCTTTTTGTCAGAAATTGAGACAGAAACTATCCAGAATACAGATAATGAATTATAGATTATGAAGATTAAAGTATGTTAACTCCCTCAAGAGCCATAAACAGACTTGAAAAGATTTTTTTTATTTTTTAGAGTACAGATATACAATGTTATAAAAAATGGAGGGACAAGGTGACTCAGATAAAACGTAAGTCTAGTTTTCAATAATATAGATTAAGTCGTCCAACATTTGCTTTCCTATTTTGTAGAGCGCTATTTTGGTTGTCCATAGTACTATAATATATCTACATGCAGACAGATGCTGTTGGCACCTATGTTTGTCTGTTCCATTCTATATGTAACCCCCTATACACTTAATATTTATCCAGCGCTCTTGCATATTCAAGCGTTCAGTAGTTATTTAAGTTAACTGATTTCGAATAGCTCCTGTAGAAAAAAAAGAGAAAACACTAAAGCATTTCACTGCAATTGAAAATTTATTCCCCTGTCAGCTGACACAACTCGTGTGAAACCCTGTGACCTGGATTCAGATCATGTTAGAACATAAACTGTTTGTAACACTTTTGTTTTTAATCTATCGCAATCCTGAACAAGGAAATGTTTCACGAGCCTCATGCGAAAGAAGACTTGTTTCCATGTAACCAACTCTCTCCAAGATTAAAAATAGGATGTCTGCAGTCTTATTAAAATTAGACCAAACTTTCGTTCCTTTTTTATCAGCTCTAACCAATCAAACTTCTGCTAGGAAGAGAGTAAAGGAAGTTGATTGGTTGAAGCAAAGGTCATCAGGTTAGGTCAAAAAGTTATTGTGACATACATTCAATAGGCCTATCTCTTGTAGCTGTATTGAAAATAAAAGCTTATAAAAACGGATTGTAAGGTTGATATAAATTTAATGAGATTGAAGATGTCTTGTTCCTTTATAATTTTAGAAAAACGCACAAAACGGTTTCATAAATGGACAAAATAAAGTTGTAATAACAGTCTGGACGATATAAGCTTACTTGTCACTTATTCTCTGACATTTTTCTGAAATTACAGATTTTCTTTTCAAAATATGATTTACAGACAATTGAAATGAAGTTCTTCTTTATGGGTAAACACTACATACATATATCCTCAAACATCATAGATTACATTAATCCAAGTCATAGATTACATTAATCCAATCTATAATATTTAACATCCACGTTGCAAACTAGATCGCAAGAGAATTCATGTTCTTGAATCTATGGTGATAAGAATACCTGAAACAAAGTTTCATTTCATGCCTCACCTTTACATGTTAATGAAGATAGAACATTACATACAAGACAAGCAACCTATATTTGTAGACAGTAAAGTTATTGCACCTTAGAATTTTGATTTGCATTTCATTACCATTTGTATGTTACAAAGTAAAATGGCT